AGCATCCAGAAACCAGGCATTAGCTCTTACAGTGCACAGAACAGTGATTTCAGACGTGTGCCCATGCTTCTCCATTCTCTCAATGTCACCTTGCCTTCCTCCTGCTCAGAGCCTTCCTGGGTTCTTGGCAAAAGAGAGTCCACCCTCATCTTATCCCCATAGCACTGTGGCCTGTTTCTTAATATCTCTTTATTTGTGGGTCCCTGACTTTGTCCAGGCTCCAATGGGCACTACTGTGTGTACCCCATGCTTCCCCATCCCTAGGACAGAGGAGATGCTGTGAATGCAGCCCCTTTAGATTCTGACCACACAACTCCTGGTTACAGGGGTGGTCCACCCTAACAGGGGAGATTCAGTCTGCAGCTCTGACACTCAGGAGAGCTCTGCCTGTGATTGAGTGCTTGCTGGGTGCCTRGGGTGAGGATGGGTGGTCAGTCTCCCCATTGACCCACAGTTTAGTCACCTGGTGGGATATGGAAGCTTTAAAGGGATAGTCGCCTGCCTTGTGCTAATCCAGACATTACAATGACCATTCACAGCTGGGCTTGGCAGGACTGCAGTAGTCCACCAATAATAACGTGGATCTCCTCTTTCCACATGCCCCCTTCTGTGCTCATAGAGCCCCACAAGAAAGCTCCTTTGCCAACTGCTTGTTCTCATCCCTGTCCTTCCCTGGCCCGTGCTGGGGGCCTTGGTACCRGTAGAAATTGCTCCCAGATTATGGCTTYTCTCTATCCTTTACTACTTGTGAGCCTCAGWCAAGGTGCTTTACAACAGGAGACTTGCTTGGATTTTTCCATAAATAACAGGGTTTCCCATTCCCTGGAATGTGCAGATTTAAACAMGATGCATATAGAGGGCCTACTTTAGTTTGTGGTCCATGGTTTTACCTTGTTGGGAGGCAGCTAGAGATAGCCAGGGAATTTTCAAATCCAGATACTTTCTGGCTGCCTGTGACCATCCCATACCTCTGCTTTCCACTGCCCAGAAAAAGCCAGAAAAGCAAAAATGCAATGACAGGCCATGCCTGCTCCTTTATGCCTAGAATGATTCCTTGTGTGAGTCCCAGATGGAAAAAAYCCTCCCCTCTGCCAGGTCCCTGTGTCAAGCACTGTGCTCTGCAGACAGAAGAACAGGGCTACTCAGGCCACACCATCAGGAACCACAACTAGAACTTTCTTCACACCAAGGCCAAAAAGGAGCTAATGGATACTAGTATGCTGGGAAAGAGAAAACCCAGGAACATCCAGAACTGGGCTGTGTTTCTCAGCCACTTCCATATATCACCAAAGTCTCTTACCTCATCTGCCTCAGGTCAGGGAGCCTCCTGAAATATTAGTCTGAATAGGTCCCTCTGCTGCTCCAACACACCCAAGGGTCCCTCTAGGTCCACCTTGACTAGTCTGGTATTTAAGGACCCCACAGATTGCCTCCATTCACATACACTCACCACTGTATCCCTTCTGTGCCTTTCTGTGCCCCTGCTCCAAATGGAAAAAACTTGTTTTTATGGGGGTCCCTTCCAAGAATGCCTGACCCTTCCATTTGTACTTGTCCACTTCCTGCCTACCTTCCTAGTCCACTCTGGCTTAATATTTTTTATAATATCTTTCCTGATAGTCCACAAGAATGGCCCCTCTCTCATCTGACCCTACAGCATCAGGTGAGGCCCTCTTACAGCCTGGGTTGCTCTCCTCTCTGCACCTAGATCTCTCCACCCACATCACATCCCTCCCACTGGACTGAGCCCACTCCAGGATTGAGCCTGAAGCCTGTCTGAAACTTACTATCTGTCCTGACCCCAAATCACCCCCACAAGAAGCCACAGAAAGTCAKATGGTAGCACTGACTAGAAGAGGTGCCAGGGGGACTCCAAAGAGCATGGGCATTAGCAATCTGAGGATCAGGGCCACACATAGATAGTGCAGGGGACAGACGGAAGGACTTTGTGTTGGTTAATATTGTCTCAACCTGGTATGGCCTTCCTCCAAGAACATAAACCCCAGAACAGTTAAATATCTGCAGAAAATGGACAATCCCTTTTCCTGGGTGTCAAATAGTCTTAAAGCCTCCCATGAGCATCCCTCTTGGTCCCATCAATCTTCATCTGGGCCAATAACCAGACTCCTGGCTTCCCTGTACTCTTCTCTTCCTGCTGCAACCAAAGGGCACCCTCTGTCCTGGAGCATGCAGAACTGGCACAACCATGGTTGGTAGAGAGATTTTTGGAGAGAGACCCCTCTTCTCCGGGTAACAAATGGGCCAGCCAGAGGCTGGAGAAGATGCCAAGGCCCAAATCAAGGGGAGAAAAGTGCTCCTGTGCATTTGCCCTTCACATTAGGCACAAAGCTATGTTTCAGACTTGTTATTTTCTSCAATTTGAGGAATAACTCTTTAAGGTATAAATTATTCTGCCTATTCCAAAGATAAGAAATCCCAACCTGGTTGGATTATGTATTTGCAAATATTACCCAGGTAATAACTCACAGAACAGGGATTCCAGCCTAGCTCTCCTTTCTCTGTTGCTGTTATTTTAATTTGCTGTTGTTGTTGATTCAAACCAGCACTGACTCTACGGTGTTCCCTCAATGCTTCTCTGTTGACTCTGTTTTAGTCTCAAGGGGACAAAACAAAAGACATCAAAATTGCTCTCCACATGCCAAACAGGTACAAATCAGAAGGGGCTGAAATTTGGAGACACTTTTCTGCCATCTGCTGGTCATCTGCCATAAGCCCATGTAKATCTGCCAAGACCTCCCATGTGAAAGGAGACTGCCTGCCTGAGAAGTGCCCAACCATAACATCAACCCTGCATGGAAGGACCCTTCCTCCWGCCCACGGTGGGAAGACCCTCTTTCTGTACAGGGCTGGTTCTTCGTACCAAAAATTAGCAAATAGTTTCTTTAAGCTCCTGTGACACATTTGGCATCAATTAGCTCTTTCACAGCCATATGTGCAGGAGGTATGATGGGATAACTGAGGTTCAGAGAGACTGAGCAACTAAGGTGTTAACTGACAAGTGTGAAATTGAAACAGAATCTGACCTGAGTATCCATAGTTGGTTTTGCGTATACTCTGTGCCTCAAGTTTCCTCTCCCGTAAAATGGGAATAACAATAGTGTTTTCACATAGGACTGCTGCAATGATTAAATAGTTAATAAATGCGAAGTATGGAGAAAAGGACAGGATACATAGTAAAAATGAAATAAATGGCCATTTGCCTGCACAACACGCATGCACACAGGATTGTATATAGTTATTCTTACGCAGTCTCACATACATGTACAAACACACGTGAACATTCAAATGTCCATGTAGATCTGCCAAGACCTCCTATGTGAAAGGAGACTCTGCCTGCCTGAGAAGTGCACATGTACACATTYTTACACACACATTTACACACTCATATATGCAAATTCATTCACACATACTGGTAAAGAGTGGACACCAGGAAACTGCCCACCACCTGAAGCCAGAAGACTAGGGTATGGCGGGTAGTTTCTTTCCAGTGTGTGTCCTTGAGTAAACTAATGAGACCTCACTTTCCTCCCCTGTAAAATGAGAAGAATATGATGCCACGTGCCACAGGACTCCTCTAAGAGGAGCTGGGATGTGTATGACCATCTGTGCAAGCTCTGAAGTGCTCTTCGATTAGGTTGCCACCATGTGGGGGATGCAGCTCAGCAGCCTCACACCTGCCTCACCTGGTGCCAGCCAGCATGACATCAGTGTTTGCCACCGCCCTGTGCCTGCTTCACAGAGGCACCTGGGAACTCTCCATCCATCCTTCAGAAAATATGACCACCTCCCCTCCCCTTCCAAGATTGAAGAACTCGGTCCCCTTCTGCCTGACAATCCCCCCCAGAAGTGAGGTGTTGGGATGCTGGTGGTTTCAGCCAGGGGCTCCTCTCAGCTTTACAGGAGGCAGCATCTCAGCAGGAGAAAATGGGCCTGCATCAGCTGGGGAAACCAAGAAGGAGGCTCACATAGCTGTTTCTGCAGGGAAGAAAGAATATACCAGGACCTGGGGGAGCAGGGTACAAGCCTCAGGGACAAAGGCCACAGAGCAGCCAAGTACTGCAGCCCTGTCCTTCCTCTCCTACTCTCTGAAGCTGCACCCCACAGTGGATGTCATCCATATCCAGGGAGAGAAATGCAAAGTGCCTTGGAATATAATTCAGGACAGTATAAACAGGGACAGAAATAGATCTCAGAAGTGGGCTGATGGTCCATGTTCCATCAGTGACTGGACAGGGCCAGAGTGGTGCTGGTTGAGGGAGACTTGGAGGCAAGAGAATCCTTGGGAGAAGAGGACCCTGAGCCAGCCAGTCTGAAAAGCCTAAGACCAAATCCACCCTGGAGGAGTGGAAGGTCAGGTGGTCAAGCACAAATAGCAACTGCCAAGAAGAGACAGGAAGAAATCACAGAGTGAGCAACGTCTCCTATCAGAGTAAAAGCCAGGGGGTAGATAGCACTGGGTCCAAAGCAATGAGCCAAGAGGGTGAGATGCAGCTGCCAGATCACCAAGTGAGAAGGAGGCCATGCAAGCAGCCAGCACAGTGATCCAGGCGGGAGACCTAGGTGGGGAGGGAACACATGGACAAGCACTGAAGCCAGACACAGAACACGCATTGGCCTGTGAGGGTCCCTGACACCACAACATGTGGAGGAGGATAGCTTTGGGTCAGACAGGCTGATGGCCAGTTAGTCTCTGGGGGCACTATAAGTGGAAGCTCTATGACCAACATGGGCAGCATCTGTGTTCTGGGGAGGCTCAATGAGATGACCTCTGGGCTCTGCTTGAGGTCCCCAGAGACCAATCCGGGTGGTGTTCTACTCTCACCTACTTTCCAGCCACAGCCACCAGTTCTCATGTGCAGAAGAAACTACCCTCAGCCTCCGAAAGGGGCCCTCACTCCAAATCCAAGGGACCCTCAGTAGGACAATGCTGTGGTGTGGAGAACTCAGGCATACTCTCCCCTCTCTTCTTGCTCCCTTAGTGCTGATCGGCGTGGGCACCGAGACCTTGTTCCAGGGCCAGTACAAAAGCCTGGCTTTCTATCTGCTGTGAGTATGTGTATATGTGCCCTCCTTGCCAGCATGTTATGCCCTAGCTCATTAATTTCTCTTCAATCCAACCCAAAGCAATCCCCTTTCCTATGCTAATTCCACCATATCCCAAAGGTGGAAAGAGCTGATGGTACTTCAAGGAAAGCTCCTGGTTTGGAAAGACCATCCCATACATCAATCATTCTTTCATATACCCATTCATATACCTACCCACTCACACACCCACCTTCCCACCCACCTTATGCATCTACCTCCTTACCCATGCATGCATCTACCTACCCATCCATATATTCATCTACCCATTCACTCACCCACTAACACACCCATCACTCACCCATACACCTATCCCCCCATCCACTCACCTGTTTACCCACACACACATCCACCCACCCACCCATCCACCYATCTRTTCATTTATTCACYCATCCACCTTTCCTCCCCAAACCCATTCATCCATGTGTCCCTTAAATTATTTCTTTATTCAGCAAACATTAATGTGCTCTTATTTAGGAAGAAGGGAATCAGGTCAAGGAAATATATATTTGAGTTCTCCTACATGCCAAGCATAGTTAAGTGTCTAAATTATGTCATTTAGCTCTAATGGCACTRTAGAAGTGCATACTGGCCTAGTTGTACAGATAAGAAAATTCAGGAGGAATAAGCAGTCAGTCTACATCACCAAGCTCCTGAGCAGCAAGGCCCAGATTTGGACCCAGGGCTCCTTAGTTCCCCAGATAATGTCCTTTCTTCATCACCAGCTACGTCTGCCAATCCCCTGGGGGTGGGAAGGAGATTGTGCAAAGGTGCCCGGGGGGGGGGGTGACAAAAGTCATGGGTACATGCAGACTCTGATCCAAAGACCCTATAATCCCATCCTGAGGGTCTATGAGCAGTTTCCTTCTAGCAGTAGAAAAAGCCTGCATCTTCCAGTCCCCCAGGTGCTAAAGGGGCCACTGAGCTGAGAAACAATGAGGAAGGGCTAGCCAGGCTGCCTCAGTCTCAGACTGTGTCCTCCATTCCTCCCCTTTACCTCTGCACTTGCATTTTACCCAGGAGGCTGTCCTGTGTCCTCAGCCCTTCACACACACACCCACCCACCTCCAGGTAGGCTCTCTGATGTCCTTGGTGAGTCACGTCCACCCTCCCAGCTACAGTTCACCCTCTGACTTCATCTCCACACTGACATCTGATGACCCCAACAGTTCCTGCCAAAACTGCTCTAATTCACATCCTAGGCCATCTTCTACCTCCACCTTATTTCTCATCAGCCACCACAGGGACTTCTGGCTCTTTCTCAAACTCCCCTTCATGGCCTGGCCTCCACACTGTTGCTCATCTAATTGAGTGCCCAAATACCATCCACCCATTTTGGCATTCGCTAAGCTCATTCCTTCCTAGCAATCTGCCCTGGGCACATTGCCCCAAGCCTAAGACCACCATTGGCTGGAAGTGACTTTTCTTTCTCTGGATAGCTCCACAACTCACTGTTCTCAGCTTCTGCACTGTCTCTGTGGGACCCAGAAGCGGGGCTGGGCCTTCCTCTTCTTCAAAGGCTGCCTAACTTGCCAGTCATTTCCTTGGCACATAATGTAAACTGCCTTTTTCCCTGTACCTTGCCTCTCATTGACTGCCCTGCCCCTTCCTTGAGGGAACCCTATGCCCATCTGGTCTCTCATCAGTTCAGTCCAGCCTCAAATTCTCCCTATTCCTCACCTTAAGCTACTTTGTGTTCTCTAGCCATGTTCTGCCTTCTAAACCCTGTAGGTCAGCACTCACTGCCTGTCCATCCAGTCCCTCTCTCCCACTCACTAGTATCAGATAGAAATTCCAAAAGAGTCACTTTATGCTACCTGTCTCCTTTTCCCTGYCTGTCCCAGTATGTAGAAAAAGGCACTGTTGATGGTTATGCAAAGTGCCTGAACTAGGAGGGCTTCTTGGACATACAGGCTCTGGAGTCTGAGTGCTGGATTCGTATCTTACCTCTGCTACTGATCAGCTGTGTGACCATAGGCAAGGAGCTTCATCTTTTTTGTGCATTACTTTCCTCATCTGCAAAATGAGAGTGATTATAGGGCTGATCATAAAAGTGTTGCAAGGACCAAACAAGTTGGTGTTTGTAAAACTTTTAGAATTGTGTTTAGCACATAGCAATCACTATATAAATGTTGTTATTATTTTTAAACTAAAAGGTAAGAATTAGGCAGATATGGAGAGACATAAAGGCAATAGGAGAAAGTAGATATTCAGTACTAAATAGTTACAGAGAGGGAAAAATCATTCTTGTAACAATTTGATTGTTGAGGCAATCAACAGTTTTTAAGTCAAGCCTCTTACCTATGGTCATATAGCTGATCAGTTAGAAGGGCAACATCCATGGCCCTAAGGAGATCTTGGCCCTGAGCTGCCTTCTCCTGTATCACAGCATCTACCTTCACTCATTCATTACTCCAGTGCCCATTAATGAAACACTTACAAATCAATCCTGCCCAGGGTGAGCCCCAGGCTGTACAAAGGAATTAGGAACTCCCTTTAGTTGTTCATAGACTGGTGGCTCTGGTCATATATGACAACATGGAGAAGAAATTGGTCACCAGACAGAAAAGAGAGGGAAAGGGGAGGCCTTACAAGAATGAACAACTTATGTAAAGGGCTCTAACAGCTTCCTGTGTAATAGGGGAATAAAGATACACAAAGTGGTAGGGGGCTAGGAATCTATGATTTTACAGAGGCCCCAGGAGGTTCTGATTGGTGGGCCCCTAGAGCATGAGCATTCTGGAGCAGAAAAAAATATAAGCAGATTTGAGTAGCAGAAGGAGTCCTGGATATCCTGGTGGTGACAATGGAGGAACAGGAGATGGTCCAGGGAGTCAGGAAGGCTGGAGAGCAGAGCTTGGACCTTCTCATACACATATGCTCTGGAGTTTGAATGAGACGGTGGTGAATTCAGAGAGAATGGAGCAATTCTAAAGGTATTTAAGGAACATACTGAACTGATCCTGGTGACTGAAAGATGGGAAAAGAAAGATTAAAAGAGAGTCTGGCCATGAGTCCAACCAGGCAATGGGTATCCGTTCTGGTGACTGGCAGGTAGAAGGATGCCCCTGCCAGTGTGTACTCAAGGTACCAGGGTGCAGGCCATCTCACCTGTTGGCCATGGCTTCCTCCTTATCCATCTCTGCACCCCAGCCCCACCCTCTMCGGCACAGGTCCTGGCGTTGAGAGAGCACCTGAAGGATGTTGCCTGGATGATGACACTAGGTCAAAATATCCTGGTCAGTCTGTTGCTGGAGACGCGGGGGATGTGACGATACTGTGAACAGACAGCCTCAGGAAATTCCAGGGAGGATCAGAGGTGCTGGCCTCCCTCACCTGTCTCCACCCATAGGTTTATAGGAGCTGCTGTCTCCGTGTGTGAAGGGGCCTACTTTGTGGCTCAACTGCTGGCCATCTGTTTCAAGTAAGTAGCCTCCAGAAGTGGCCCYTCAAATACCCATGATCCCTAATCCCAGATGCCTCCACTCCTGGGGCCATAGCTGGGGGATGTCCTCAAGCCACCATAATGGTTGCCCCTTTCAGAGCAGCAAGYCCTGACCTGGAAATGGGCTCAGGTCAGGGGACTCAGTCACCTTCTTTGGCCTTGATACCAGCCAAGAGAACCCAGYGATTGATCCATTCAGAGCCCCCCCCCCAACACTAAGATTCCCCCTGGAAATCAGCTTTATTTCCCCCAAGGAACAGTTTATTGCTGGACTCTGGTGCCTAAATCATTCACCAGAGGGTAAGAACCCCAGGAAGGATCAGTTTGCAGTGAGCAGGGCTGGGTGTGGGAACTGGCTGCTAGCTGTGCCTCCTGGCAGTACCCAGGGACAAGTCAGGGGTCATGAACCTCTGGCCAAAGCAGTTGGAACCCTGCTTTCCAACTGCTGCTCAGTATGTGCAGCTGTTATCTGTGTGGCCTTGGCCTGGAGTCCTGAACCACAGCTCTAACACCTTAGAGGATCTGGTTCCCAGGTGTTCAGTGAGAGTCACACTTCAAATCCAGCTGCCCCAGCACCTTGCAAGGTCACTGGCTTTCTTCCAGGTTCTCCAAGCCTAAGAAAGTAGCCRTCCACCTTAATCCTGAATTCCACTGCCAAGTATTCCTTGAAACTTCATGGGAGCTGTGGAYAGAAGCAGAAAGAACCTTGGATATGGAGCATTTTAATCTTGGGATTTCCCAGGCCACATGCATGCACTGTGACCACAAGGGGGCACTAATGAACCACACTAGCTAAGACTGCTCAGCATCAGGCCTCTGCCACGGTGGTGTCTAATTTCCACATGTTGGTTAGGAAAAACACCTTTCAAGACTGATTTTATTATGTGCCTAGGTGAGTAGAGTTCAGCTAGATTCCAGCCTGCTCATCCATGTTGCCAGGCCTTTTGTGCAGTGCCTGCTGTGCACCATGATCCTAGCAAATATCTCCTCTGCTCCATGCATTTTCTGCTGCACTGCAGACTTTCCAGTGGGTCCTGAACCTCCATTAACCTTTCTTCCCCCTGGGCCAGAAAGGCAAGGCTGAACAATTTTAGACAAACTATAGGCCTTCTGGATGAAGGATCTCAAATGAGCCCCTCAACTGTGGAACCCACAGTGAGGACCCCTGGAACTTTCATGATTCCAAACCCAAAGGGTGTTCAGCCGGGGGCCACATCAGGCCCATGGCAGGCCCAACATCAGCCTCCAATGGCCTCCTAGCACGAKTTCTTCCTGGGTGCTTCATGCTAACCCTGATCTCCTTTCTCCAGGTGCCAGCCAGGGTCCCTGGCCCACAGAGCAAGAGAGAAGACCCACTGGCTGGGATGCTTCCAGAAATTCCTGGCCTATATGCTGCTCTCYGTGGCCTGCTTTCTTCACCCTGTCCTTGTCTGGCACGTAACCATCCCAGGTAGGAGCACCAGAAGGTAGAGGAGGTTTGCAGCCCCTGCTCCAGGTGGGCTCTAGGAAGTGGGTGCTGAGTCACCCTCTCAGAGCCCACACTGGCCCCACCGGCCTCTCTGCCCTAGGGCAAGCAGCTGCTGGGTATAATCCAGGTTGATCAAAGGGCAGCAACGTCCTACACAGCCATCCAGACAGAGGTGATATCATCAAGGGAACCTGGCCTTTCCTCATATTGACTATATGTGGTTTAACCTTTCCAAGAACATAAAATGATCAGTTCTGACCCTTCCAAATCTCCCCAGTGCCTTACCATTCAGGTCTAAATTCCTCAGGCTGGTTTGGAGGGCTCCCTAGGATGGGACCCCAAAAGGACTTTTTAGCCGTTCTCCTACTTTTCCACTGCAGCCTGCTGGGCAGCAATTTTTGACTGCAGAATCCAGATCTCAGTTCTATCACCTCTTCACTTCTGTCCATGACCTTCTCTGCTAGGATCCTCCTCTTCCCTCCTTCTTATCTCTAAACACTATGCCCCTGATAAGAGCCCCCCTGAAATACTAGGAAGCAGACCCTCCAGGAAAACAAAGTTGARGAGAAGAGCCCCTCGTTCTCCGTGCCATGTCTTTGGTGTATGTGCCACAGTCTTTCCAGAATTCTGGAGAAGGATCCACCTCTGGCAAGGCCAGACCAAGCCCAATCCCCTACTTCTTGGAGAATGAAGCATGCAGGAGGCTGTGGCTCCAGCAGGCATTAATAGTCACCTCTCTCCCATTCCCCACCTTCTGGACAGGACTGGACTCTTGGCAGGAAACCYAGAGCAGAGCATCATCTCAGCCTGGGTCCAAAAAGCCCGTTGCCTGGGTTCAAGAAGCCCATTGTCCTCTGTGGCCACAAAGGAGATGAACATGAGGCTGTCCCCACCCAAGTAGATTTGAACTTTACTCTGAGTTTACTGGGTGAGGGTTAGGGAAGCTGATGTGAAGGGAGATCTGGGAACATTAGGAAGCCCGATTCAGAAGTTGGAGGCCCAGTATACAAAAGAGAGTCCAAGCCCATCAGAGGCGTTGTATGTCTAGCACCCATAAGCCATCCTTAGAGGGAAGCTGAGAGTGGTAGTGGGAGGCCAGGCAGGCAGCAGCTGAGCCAACTGTCCACAAGGAGCAATCCTAGGCACTGAGATCAGGGATGGGTCCTCAAGAGCCTAATGAAGCCCTTCCTTTGTGTCCAAATGGGGACCTAGTTTCCTGATTAACAGGAAACCCACGTATGGCACTGTCCTACTCATAACCTTTGGCTGGGGTCAGGCCTGACCCCTGAGTCTGATGTAGAGGTATGGTTGCTGGAACCATRGTGGAACTGAGTATGTCTGCATAGTACTATGCCACGTGGCCCTGCAGAAGGATGGGCTTGAACGGCCTTTTTTACCTCCATGACACATCCATCATTCTGACCTCCCAGATCTCTTCCAGGCTCCATGCTTATCATCACTGGCCTGGCCTACTTTCTACTGAGCAAGCGGAAGAAGACCAAAGCTTCCCCGGAGGTTCTGGCCTCCCCAGAACAGTACACAGACCCCTCTGGCAGTGCTGTGAGCACCACTGGCTCCGGGGACACTGAGCAGACTTATACCTTCCATGGGGCCCTCAAGGAGAGGCCTGGATCCCTCTTCATCCACATGAAGAGTATCCTGAAGGGGACCAAGAAACCCAGTGCCCTGCAGCCCCCAGACACCCTTATGGAGTTGCCTCTGGAGTCAGCTGACTCCCTGACCAAGAAGAAGCAGGTGCACTTTGAGGACAATGTGGTCAGAATCATCCCCTCGCTTTCTGAAGGTGCAGATGATGAGGACAGTGAGCCAGAGGAGACCACCTCTGACACAACCCCCATCATCCCTGTCCCCCAAGCCCCCCTCCTTCTGTCYTCACTCATGGCAACCGACCTGTTCTGAGCAGCTCAGTGAGGTGTCTGCATAGACTGATGACCCTGCCCTGGAGCTTCGTCATACCTCTAGACTCTCCAGGGAACTCCGGGTCTTTGTAGGTCAGCTCCTCCAGGGGTAATCAGATATCCCCAAAACGACTTGGGTCTCTGGGACCATCAGGTGGTGCGACATCCAGAAGTCCCATAGAAACCTCCAGGAAGATACAAATGAGGCTCATGCCATTTAGAACCAGTTTGGGGTCCCTCTTCCTGGTCGTGGTGCAGAAATCCTTGTGCTTTGCCCAAAGCAACCATCATTTTGACTCTACATAAGGCCATAGGTACCACTGCTTCAGAACCAAAGGGACAGAGGATGTCTGCCTTGGCCCAAAACTGCAGGGCTTTTCTTGCCCCTGACATGGAGTCCATTATTGATCAAGGGACCTATGGAACATTTCATCTCTGATGYGAACATCCCATCTCTGAAGGTTCAGGGATGCAGTGGCAAGTTGAGCATCTCAAAGACAGGTGTTAATGGTGAGCCCTTTCCAAGACTGTTCAGGGTAGGGACTAAAGGTTGCAAATCCTCAGGGTGAGAGCAGCTGGGCAGTAAGCCACATTCCAACCATGCTCTGGGGCTGGGGCCAAGCATCAGAAGTTGCAGAGCCGCTCAGGGAAACAATGCCACTCTGTGCTCACTGCTGGGAAAGCAACACTCATTCCAGAAGCATTGCTGAGGGCTCCCTGAATCCCCACCATGGGATTCTTCCAAGATTCCAAGTAGATGATGCAAACTATGACAACATTCACCAGTGACTGCCAGACCCAGTACGCAGTGCTTKCTGTACCCCAGGATCCCAGAGACAGTGCCCTGGAGAGTCACATGGCACAGAGAACTGGCTCTGCCATACTTAGCCACCTGCTGGTGGAATGCATGATAAATACATGTTTCTTCAAAATGGGAGAGAGGGAGGCAAGGGAAGGATCAATTGGAAGATAATCATCTAGGAGACAAGTTCCCTGCCAAAGGGATATGGAGGTAACAGTTAACCCACAATGAATAAATATATTTGAATCACACATTTTTTGGTAAAAGGATTTGCAATATAGTTTTTATTTCTAAATAAGGTTCCTTTGATCCTTGAGAGTGTTTCTGGGAAGAGCAGATGTGTTATGCCTCATAGACAATACCGATATATCAGCAATCTGATAAAGAAGAGTCCTGTGGTTTCCCAGTCCATGTGAGAGGGTTGGCACTAGCACTCCTTAAGAGCAAGTCTTYGATCACATGCTTGTTTGTTGTTGTACCATTTTCAACAGCCCCTACAAGTTATTGTGTGGAGATAAGGGCCAACCAGAAGCTGGCATCTGTCTGGTATTTAATGAAATAGGTATTCCAAATAAGCAGAGCTCTTTGTGCAGTCATGCAATAGTTTTTTTTCTCAAGTTGAATGGCAAATGGCTAACAAACACATTCCCATAAGCCTTGATGGTGGGAGCATTTGAGCAGTTTCCTTAGTTGCCCTGAGAAGGGAAGTCAGAATCCGACTGTTCCTAGCAGACAGGGAATGTGGGTATAGATAGGTGGGGATCTTGTTCCATTCCTGGTGGGATGGGGTCCTGGGTAGGCTTCTCTGCACAGAAGGATCCTAAGTGCGGAGGGGCCAGTGGTTGGTCTTGCCTGTGTCCAGTGGATGTGATGTGAATGCCATGACCATAGATGCCCCACAGCCTAGGCATGTCAGGCCTTTCACATCAGAGCAGCCCCATGCTCAGAGTCTGAACCAGTAGAGCTGAATGACCAGGTCACAAGAAGCACACCCAAAAGTGAGTTGTCAGAACCCATATAATAAATATCTCTATAAACCCAACCGCTAACGCATTGTGTTGGTTGTGTGTTAGAGGCGAGGAGTTCCAGGTGACGATGTACGTGTGATTTAGAAACATCTGGGCTTTGTGGTGACTGTCATCAGTTAAAAGGGGAGTCTTCTGTGTGTGCTGCCTTAGAGAGTGGTGATGACCTTTGCTAARATAGCAAAGTAAAGCTTGAAAACACTCTGACCACTGCCAAAAATAAAGCTGGGGTGAGATGATGGATCATTAGGTAGACTGGAACCTTTACCCCTTCCAGTGGACAGGGCAAGAAAGTGACACCTTCCTTAAAAGAGATAAATACCATAGGTCTCCATTTGGTCCTCAGCCTGTGCTTTAGTCAGCTTTTTCTATGACCAAAAGACCTGATGAGAATGATTTTAGAGAAGGAAAAGTTTATTTGGAATTCACACTTTCAGAGGTCTCGGTCCACCGATGGGACTGGATTGCTCTGGGTCTAAGGTAAGGAAGAGTGTCCSGGAGGAAAGAAGCTCAAGACATAGCCACCAGAAAACAGAGAGAGCTCTGCTCACCAGGGACAATATATATATTCCCAAGGCATGCTCCAGTAACCTACCTCCTCAGCCATACCCTACCTGCCTAGAGTTACCCCTGGGTTAATCCAGTCAGGTGGATTAATGTCCTGATTGGTTAAACCCACTCATTTCACTTCTAAACTTTCTTGCACTGTCTCACACATGAGCTTTGGGAGGACACCATAGGTCCATAACAGCCTGGGATACCTTACACTTTTATCTGTGTCCCCTRGTATCCCTACAAAGCAGATGTACTGATGAGCCTCATCCCTACTGAGAATCAGACTAGGTTGGCTGAACCTATTGTGTCCTGCCTCCTTCTCTTGGAAGAAACCAGAGCTGACACTTTGTTCATGTGGAACAGAGCCATTGGAATTAGAAAGAGGACTAGGCTGGGGACTGTTCAGTCCTCCACTAACATGCTGACTGMCCTAGGCCAAGACCCTTAACATCTTTGGGAAGTGTTCCTCAGTTAAGTGTGAATAATGGCAATGGCTCAGTGAGATCTGGAGAGGTGTTTTCAGGCTACAAATCACAAGTCATGGTAAGGTCCCCTGTTCTCATTGCTGTTGGGGCATCACAGTGAGAAAACATGGAGGAATCACCACCCCAACTTTACCTGGGACAGGTCCGAGGCAGGTCCAAGGCAGGTCCAAGAATTTTTTCCTCAACCTCAGATTTTAGGACTTGAGTTTGGGGAGGGTATAACTGCCAACCCCAGCAGAGACCAAGAGCTACATGGACCCCACAATCATGAGGAGCTGTGCAATGGTGTCCTTCCTTTCTCCCATCAACCCTAAGGTTTTTGTGTCCTGGTTTTTGTTTTTTTATTTCTTTGGTTTATGGGTTGGTTTGAGTTTTCTTAAATMTCTTTATTGAGACAAAAATTCACATACTAGAAAATTCACCAATTAAAAGTGGACATTTAAGTGGTTTTTAACATATTTGTAATCTAAGTTCATCACAATTTCCATAATCTATATTCACATTTTCATCACACTTGAAGGCCCCCAACCCAGTTCCCATTTCCTGTCCCCTGTTCTAGGAAACCACTCATCTACTTTTTGCCTTTTTAAATTTGCCTACTCTAGGCCTTTCATATAAATGAAATTATAAAACACCATGTAATATTTTCTTTTTTTTGACAGCTTCTATCATTTTACTGATATTTTCTGTTTAATAATACTTCATCCTACTTTCGTTTAATCCTTTAGACATGGTTTCTTTTAGTTCTTTGAACATACTGAGGATTGCTTTGAAGTCTCTGTCAGCTACTGTCCTACATCTAGGTCACCTCAAAAGCTGTGTCTCTTGTCGGATTTTTTTCCCCAATGTAACCCACTTTCCTGTTTCTTTGTATGTCTMAAAAGTTTGTGTTAACAACTGGACATTTTGGCTGATATCTAAGGCAAACTTGGATACTKGCTCTCCCTTCTTCTCCGCCTGGTTTCTTGTTATTTGTACATTCATGTGTTTGTTCACTGACATGGCTGCACTAATTCTGTGAAGTCAGATAAGTCAGATTTTTGTCTTGCTTTTAATCTTTTAGTCACCTCTTAGTTTCTGTTTTAGTCATCTTTTTCGTCACTGCAACCGAAAGACCTGGCAAGAACAATTAGARGAGAAAAAGTTTATTTGGGGGCTCATGTTTCAGAGGTCTCACGCCATAGATAGCCAACTCCATTGTTTGGGGCCCAAGTGAGGCAGAATGTGGTGGCAGAAGAGTATGCTGGAGGAAAAGTGGTCCAGGACATAGCCAACAAGAAGCAAGGTGGGGGGAGCTCCCCTCACTACTGACAAAATATAAATCCCAAGGGCACATCCCCAGGACCCACCTCCTCTAGCCACATCAAACTTGCCTACAGTCACCACCCAGTTAATCCCTATCAGGGGATTAATGCACTGATAAGTGTAAAACCCATAACTCTATCATTTCACCCCTAAACTTTCTTGCATTGTCTGACACATGAGCTTKGCAGGGGTGCCTCATAGCTAAACCATAACAGTTTTCCTTGAGKCTTTATAAGCCATTTATCTCTCTGGACCAATTAGATTCTTACACTTCACCATTGCAATCTGTAAAGCAAGGAGAGGAGGGGAACTTGCAGTCTTCTATCACATATCAAGGAGTTTACACTTTCTCTACAGTTAACCAGGGACAAGAAGGTATGACATCCTTTTTTATGATACTCTGGAGAAGAATCATTCTTGAACATATAATACTGTTTGCCAGAGTGATTTTATTTTCAGGACTTTCACCTGGCCCAATATTTAGTTAAAGGATGTACTTAAATCCCTTATGCCTATAAGCCATCTACTCTTTGTTGACGGATCCATGTGCAGATGGGGAATGTTTTCACATCTGCCCCCACAGGCTGATCTGATTGCCCCAGAATACATCCAGCCTAGCACTTGCATAGAGCCTTCCAAACCCCTGGAGTTGACTGATTCCCAAAGGGCTCTTCTTGGCTGTCTCTTTTCCATTTCCCTATTAAACATATGACTCTCCTGTTCTTTTGCTTACTGCTACCAGAACCATGACTTACAAACACCCTTTTAATTGTTTTTCATCAAGAGTTCCATTGTCTTTTTTTGCAGGGGGCGGGGGCGGTTACCGGGG